AAACATTTAGGGGGTTATTTTAAACTATCTTTCACAATGGTAGAGAGGTGGGTAATTTAGATACAAATTTAGGTGTTACTTTTTGTATTTTTCATAAAGGCAAGTGTGAGTGTTTTTTAGAAAGTAAAATATAATATGTTGAAAGTTTGTCATTGGTGATGATGGTCGAAAGGTCAACCAAATTAAAGATCAGGTGTTTCTGATTATTCTAAGTATTTCTAGAATTTATCTTTTTTATGTGGCTAACGTAGAGATTTTGTTGGAGATCTATAATTGGAAATTAGGCCAATGCAGAAAAGTTAAATTTAGGTATATTGTTGTGTCCCATATTTATATATCATATTATGTGATAGCTCATAAAATTTTTTATGCCGTGGAGAAGAGAAAGACATGTCAGTCCAAAAAAAAGAGTCATTGTTCCATGAATCATCAAGATCGTAAGCTAAAATTTAGAAGTATAAGATAATTCTAACAATATTATGCAACTCATAAGGTTTCTTTGTTCTATGTACGAATTAAAGAATTGTAAACGTAAGAGACACCACATCTATATGTTATGTATTAAATCAATTTAAGATCAGATGATATTATTGGATGATACACTATGACATGACGCTAATGTACGTTGACCCAAGGATCCGTACGTACTCCTTCGTGATACGACTGTGTATAATCTTGTATGACAAAAGCAACTTAATACAAGAAAGAAAGAAGATTGATTGAGGTGACTAGAGGGTAGCGTTATCACCGACACATGATCCATGTTCGGTTTGCTGAAACTTGACTGAAATTGGCTGAAAACACTGTTCTGGCTGAAAATGTTGTGAAAGAAAACACTGTTCCGGCTGAAAAAAGAAGCCGAACAAGTCAGATATGGGGTAAACCGAACGGAGCTAATATATGGTACATACACCGTACAATGCTTAAGAAAATTCGCATCCTAATTTTCAGAGGAGGCAGAGTCTGGGTTATGCTAAAATCCCAATCATGCCAAACAAATAAGTCCAGTGCATTTGTTCAAAGCATATATATATATATATATATATATATATATATATATATATATATATATATATATATATATATATATATATATATATATATATATATATATATATATATATATATACGGGTTCACGTGTGCTTTCATCACCGATACGTGGCGCGCAGCTCACACCCTGTGGCCTGTGCGTGGGTGACTGGGTGTGGGCCGTGTGGCTGTGGCCGTGTGGGTTACCACCATGCATGATCTATGGGCGTGTGTCTGCCAAGGTCAAAAACCACAAGAAAGTTTTGTTAGGCCACACGCCAAACTGAACTGTCCAAGGGGAGGGAAAGATGAAGAAGATGTTAGGCCTGACAAGCACCCTGATTTGCGGTGGCATGCACAATCCTCGCCGGAACAAGAGAATCTCCGGCGGTCCTCCAATTCCCATCCCCATCGAGAAAAACCTGTATTATGAGGGATTTGAGAGAGCTCCAGCAGATCCTCATTTCCATCCCCAATGGGAATTTTTTTTTTTCAGTCCCTCAAAAACCATCCTCCAACCCCTCAAAGACGAGGGAAACCTCCCTCCCCCAATACACTAGGCCCCACCATAAACTGCCACCTCCTCCCCCCTCGCTCTCTCCGCCTCGGCGCCTCCATTGTAGCCACCGCCGGAGCACCTTCAGAGGTTCGCGTGCTAGCTGCCCAAGACTCGATCGTGGTATCTAGTTTCGCGTGCATAATGACCGCATCTATGATCATGCACAACATGATAATTGATGACTTCAATTATGACACTGAGTTCACATATGTTTCACTTGTGCAGCCTCAGAGGGATAATGACCGAATCAACAAATTTCTAGAAGTGCATCGGAAGATTGAGGATCGTGAGGGCATAACCAACTTCAGGATGACTTAATAGAGCATTTGTGGCATTCATGTTATCTATCTACTATTACCTGTTTCTGTGTTACTGTCTTCAAGTTAAGAGTTTAGTAGTAGTACTCCCTCCGTTTCTAAAAGAATGCAATTCTTGCTTTACGAGGAGTCAAACAGTTTGAACTTTGACTAAATTTGTATAAGAAAGCACTAACATTCGTGATATAAAATGAGTATCAATAGATTAGTTGTAGAAAATATTTTCATAATAAAATTACTTAGGGACATAAATAATAATACTATTTACTGTAAAGCCGGTCAAACTTGAGTTTGTTTGACTGGCACGGTTCCGACAATTACATTCTCTTACATCTTTTGACTACAGCTGAACCTTGCACTTGGCTCTGTGTAACTCGTCAGGCTTCATAGTGCAGCTGATTCTAGTAAAGAATGGCATGCACACTCTTTTAGCTTGTAAATGAATAAGTTGAACTCTTGAATTTAGACTTCCCGTTCACATATTCCTCTGTCCTTTTGTGTTTAGCATTTTGCATGTGAGCATGTTTGCGTGATCTGTCCGGTAGCTATGGTTTCACAGTGACAAAGTTTCAATTCTGCACAATTTTTAAACGAAGTCTTGTGATATGTCCATTGACTACGATTGTCCAGATGCAACGGTAGCTAGCATTGGAGATATTTTAATCTCAATCTGAAATTTTGAATTTAAATTTCAAAATTGTTAATTTGAATCATGTGCGATAGACATAAAAAATATGAATTATTATGATTTAGAAATCTTATCCATGCATTTTGATCAACGGTTAAATGCCAAGTTAGGGTTGATAGGGCCAAAATAGACTGAATCTGCGACATGGGCCAAAATCACATATTAGGGAATTGCAAAAGCATCTCCCCAATAATCCAAAAAGTAATACAGCATGTTCGTTTCGGTTGAAACGATCATGGATTATTGCTGCTGGCTGGTTTGGTGTGAGAGAAAAATATTGTTCTGCCTTATAGTCTACGATCGTTTACGACCAAGCGAAGAAGTTGCTTGTTAGACACAGCCAGGATGGGCAATAACTGTATTTTTTATTCTTCTTCTTCTTCCGTATACGAGGACTTACACACCCATCTGAAATACGGTCTAGGTACATAGGAGTACTCACTCTATACATCATGCAGTCACACTCACGCGCTTGCGCAGTGCGAAACCACAAACTGCGAAGTGCGAACGACTGGTTGACTGCTCTCTCCTGGCCGGAGTGGGTCGCCGTCGAGCCAGGCTGTCGGAAAGCGAGGCCGCAAGTGGGGCGCGCGGTGCGCTCCAGCTGGCTCTCATGCATTCCGCTGCCGTCATCCCACGCGACACAACACTCCACATCAACAACAGCTTGCGTTGCGTGCTCTGCCCGCGCGGCGCGGCGCCGGTAGGCCCGCCTAATCCTCTTTCTTTAGCTCAAAACCGGCGACTAATTTCGCGCCAGCCCTGCCCGGGGGTCTAGTATAAGTAGTCGCCGCCGTCGTCGACTCGTCGTCTTCCTCCGCTCCGCTCCGCACCTCCCCGCTCCCCTTTCCCTTGTCACGCTCTCACACCTCAGCATCGATCGGCCGATTCCTCCTCCTCCTCTGGCCGGCCGGCCTCTTCTTCCACCTCCCGATCGGCTCAATTCCTCCGTCGTCGGTTCGGCCTCTGGCCTGCTCACCATGAACTCTTGCTTCCAGGGCCTCTGGAGAGCCATGGCTGGGGCTCTGCCGCCGCCGCCGCTGTCGTGCTGCCTCGGAGCTGCCGCGTGTGGGTTGCTCGCTAGGCAGCAGCTATAGTAGCTGAGTGAGTGCATCGATCGGTTTATCGAGTCCACCTCGGCCTCCCTTCGACGTCGTCTTCTTGAGCGCGGGACGAGAGGCAGGGCAACAAAGAGAGAACATAATAGCAAAGGTAAAATTCAGTCCAGTTCAGTTATGCTCTGTTTAAGTTCCTTTCCGTTGCTTCTCAACAGAGCTCTTTACTTTGGCACAATACATATGCCTACTACTTTCAGACATAGATACATGTATATGTATGTATGCATACTAGTACCAATTCCTTGTGTTATGCATACATATACTACTCTTTTGATCATTAGTACTTTTTTCACTGTAACTTGGGAGTGGTTGAGTGAACGAGTTAGGAGATTCTTGGGATCTGGGGGAGACGCGGCTTGCTTCATTTTCTTCCAAATAAAAAAGCAAAGCAATCTGAGGGAGATGGAAAGAGGAAGGAGAAAGGAAAGGAAGAAGAAAGGGGTCACATGCAGACGACTGAGGCCTTCCCCAAATGCTACTTTTCAGCTTCTAGCCGTTATGAGCACGTAGAATCGGATAAAAAAAAGTAGATGCTCTATATTTATCATATTGTCTTGCAAAAGCTATATATAGGAGAGAAGGTGATCCATGCTTAAAAAAAAGAAGAGGAAGAGGAAATAAAGGTGAGGCATGATGAAAACAAAAAGTTTCTATGCAAACCATAAATAGAGATAATTTGCAATGTGTGAATAGTGATTTTAACATTTCATAGTCTATATGAATCACTTTATTTATACTAGAAGCACTAAAAGTGTTTTCATTTGTGGTGCACAACACATTTGAACCTTCTTTCTTCCCCGTCTGACTCCCTCACACATGCTTTGCTTTGTGGTCCTGGTCCTCCTTTCCATGGTGGTAGTGATGCTGGTCTCTTTTTATCTCCTCCCTCCCCCTGCCTTTTGTCCTTTGATTATCAAAAGGACTGCGATTCCAACAAATCTTCCAACCAAGCAACAAAGTTTTGGATGAAAAAGAAAAGCTGTGTAACGAACTCATCACACCAACTCTGTTTGATTGTTTGCACTGTATTTCTCCCCCAATCTGCCACCTCAATTCCGGAGCTATGGTTCTGCTGGTTCATCCTATATCTAGAATTAAATTACAAATGGATAGGATAGAAGAGCTAGTAGTAAAGAATTCATCCTTTTTTTTGCCGACCTATACTATACTATACACGTTTGAAAAAAATACAGCTTATAAGTCTGGCTTAATAACATATCTCAATAGGAATCTAAGAGCAGCTTTAATTTACTCTGAGAATGAACCTATAGAGGACATGGCGGTCTGGTCAGAAGAACACGAACTTGGACTTTGAGCTACATTTGAAGGGGAGCGCCGTGCCGTTAGGCCAGAAGAAGCGGATTTGGCACGTGAGCCGCGTCCACTGGTTGACGGCAACGAGACCGGCGACCTTCCAGCGCGTCCTGGCCTCCCCCTCCACCCCGAACGGCACGAAGCCGTCGCGGAGCGCAGCCTCCATGGCGGCGCTGCCAGCCACGCCTAGCGGGGCACCCTGCGCGCTCGCCACATACGCCAGCGGCAGGGCGCCCCTGGCGGGCACGCGGAACGTGTCGGCCCGGAGCACCACGAGTGCCGCGCCGGCGAACGCGAGCCGGCACTCGAGGCGCGAGAAGATCGCCACGGAGTGCGCGTTGTCGTTGCGGGCCTCGACGCGGAGCGAGAGCTGCACGTCGTCCAGCGCCCCGAGCTGGTCGTACACCAGCCTGTCCAGGCTCGCCGCCCGCACCGCCACGTACGGCGCGCGGGGCTGCAGCAGTAGCACCACCACCAGGATGGACACGGCGCCCACCAGCACCACCACCGCCAGCACCGTGAACAGCACCGCTGCCGCCCACTCCAGTGCGCCCGACCGGTGCCTCCTCCTGAAGTTGTACGGCCGCCGAGGCTGCTCGTGGACGCGAAGCTGTTCGTGGTCGTGCTCGTGGTCGTGGGCGCCCCCCCTCCGCGTTCGTGATTCCTCCGTCTGGTGAGCGTCGAGGTGGCTCTCCAGCTCATGGACGCGTGGGCCATGGGCATGGCTGCCGCCGCCGCCAGGAGGCTCGCCTCCTCGGGTGGACGACGACGACATGGGGGGCTACAGCGATGGCCAGCAGCATGCCAGCGTCAAGGAGAGAGGCGAGCTCTGGGCGGGACGCGGGGCTAATATAGTTTGCTTGCGCTCGACGCGGTGCCGTGCGGCGTGACGGCCGCCTTACGTGGGCGCTCGGCGAGTGGCGGCGGCGTGGCCGTTGCCCGGTGCAGGACTGCAGGAGGGGTTCGTTTGCGCTGTAGCGGGCAAAGGTTTGCTATCTCCCCTCCGTACGCTCATTTGTACGACGCATGAAGCATCGGCGCCGGCCGGCCGGACGGTCGGGAGAAAGCTTTGGGCATCGGTTACTTAAAGAAATGGAAGCAAGGGAGCACGCTGTGCTTAGGCTACCTGATTACCTCACTGACAGCCACAGTCATGGCTGCCCCCTCCCGGTTCTCTCCATTGATGCTGCTCATGGGAAGATGCCTTTGGCAGCCTGGGCTTTTAACAAATCGGAAGGCAGCTTCGCATTGTGCCGCGATCGAGCTGGAACGCTAATGACATTTCCACTGCTGCCATCATTGCAAAAGCACCCGATGCCTTTTGCTTTCTGTTGCTCTGTTTGTTTAATCAACTTGGTCTTGCTCTTGGTGGTGTTAACCGAGCCTTTTGTAGTGCTTTTGAAACAGTGACTGTCAAAGTGGGAATATACTAGGATTAGCATTCATCTTTGTGGTATAAAATCTTGTGAAGGTTCGCTAAGGTTAGACTAAATTCAGTATCTAGTACTACTAGATACTGCGAGCCTCGGAAAAATATGTTGCTTTGCCCTGATCCTAGCTAATTTTTTCGAAGATCCTAGCTAAACCCTGTTGGACCTTGGATTGCAAATCTGTGAAACAGATACTTTGCTTTGCTCCAATGCACCCATACTTTGCTTCTTTGCAGAGAACCAAGAGTGATCTGCATATAGATTTTTTTTTTAAAAAAAAATGAATAGTCACATTATGTGATTGCTCAACCCTTTCTCCTTTCGTGCAATTTATTCATTGATATAAAGGCCCCGTTCGTTTTCACTGAAAAAGTATAGACGTTCCAAAATTTCAGCAGCAGCAACGGCAATGGAGGGAGCTGGTTTGCAGTGACGCGCGCGCCATGGATCCCGAGCCATTTGTGCGGCTCTCAGTCGGGCAGCTCGGTCTGAAGCTCCCCGGCGGGAACGCCAGCAAGGCGGCCGGCCGGCTCTGCGACTGCGAGATCCGGCTGGGCGGGTTCCCGGTGCAGACCGCTCCGGTGCCGCTGATCCACTCCCCGGCGTTCAACCTCGACCCGTTCACCAACGCGGCGGTCTTCTCCCTCGACGAGTCCGACCTCAGGGCGTTGGCGGCGCCGGGGTGCTTCCGGGCCCCGCGGACGTCGTGCCTCGAGGTCGCGGTATACTACCTGGCCCGCTTCGGCGCTTCTTCTTGCTGCGGCGTCGGCGCCGCCTGCAGGAGGAAGCGGCTGGTCGGCGTGTTCAGGGTGGAGCTCCCGTCGTCGGAGTGGCGGCCCGTGTTGCTGCACCATGGGTGGGCGGGCATCGGCAAGGGGGAGGCCAGGCCGGAGCTCCACCTCAGGGTGAAGCTGGAGGCCGACCCCCGCTACATCTTCCAGTTTGACGACGAGATCGCGCTCAACCCGCAGGTGGTCCAGCTCCATGGCAGCATCAGGCAGCCCGTGTTCAGCTGCAAGTTCATCCGCGACAGGCGGTAAGAAGTGTCTCGATCGTTCGCGATCAGTTACATTACATGCATGCATCAAGTCCATCTGAATGCTTTCGTGTGCATGCATGCAGGCCGTCTCAGAGTGACCCGTTGGGCGGCGGGCAGTACTGGTCGAGCTCCAGCAGCGAGGAGAAGGACATGGAGATGGTGAGGCGGGAGAGGAAGGGCTGGAAGGTGGTGATCCACGACCTGTCCGGCTCGGCGGTCGCCGCGGCGTTCATGGCCACCCCGTTCGTGGCGGCGCCGGGCGGGGACACGGTGGCGCGCTCCAACCCGGGCGCCTGGCTCATCGTGCGCGCCGACACCACGGGGTCCTCGGACAGCTGGCAGCCGTGGGGCCGGCTGGAGGCGTGGCGCGACACGGCGGCGAGCAGCGGCAAGGACACGGTGCGCCTGCGGCTGCACCTGCTCCCGGACCGCCACGACGACTGCGTCCTCGTGTCGGAGGCGCCCCTGAGCAGCGACAAGGGCGGGGAGTTCTTCATCGACATGGACAGGCAGGCGCCCTCCGCCACGGCCGCGGAGCACTGCGCGGCGAGCCTGGGCGCAGCGTGCGCCGGCGGAGGGTTCGTCATGAGCTGCAGGGTGGAAGGGGAGGCGAGGAGCAGCAGGCCGTTCGTGCAGCTCGCCATGCGCCACGTCACGTGCATGGAGGACGCCGCCATGTTCGTCGCGCTCGCCGCGGCCGTCGACCTTAGCGTCAAGGCGTGCCGCCCATTCCGGAGGAAGCCGAACAAGAAGGCTGGCTCGCCGTCGCCCGACCTTCTCGAGCTCGACACGTAGGAACACAGCAGCAGAGGAGACGCCCGCCGACTAGCATCCATGGGCGGCCATGGATCCATCTAACTCGATCTGTAAATTCACTTAATTTCAAGAGCTGGACCGGACCTTTTGCACTTTGCAGCAATCCAAAACTCTGTTGTTTGATTGATTCTTGCACAAAGGTTTGTGGCTTGTGCGTTCTATCGCCGGCGTACCCGTGGAGTCTGGACGCCGGCACTGGCATCGTTGACTAACACTCGCAGGCTCTGACAAAACTTTGACCATCGTTGGCCCCACCCGTCAGTTTCCTCTCGCACGCGACGGGAGCTCCTCGTCCCATCCTCCCGTCTTGAATTCTTGAATTTCGACGTGTGATCGAGTTCTTGAATTGCTGCGTTCCAAGAACTTCGGATTTACGGCTGCGTTACTATCACAAAGTAATCTGGTGATCCTGTGCAGTCGGAGTTGGTCAAGCTCTTCGACCGAGTGTGCCCGGTGCTGGCCGGCCTTCGCCGGTGGGTGTGGGGAGCTTCCCAGCAGCGGGAGATCCGGTGGGTTGCTGGCGGACGGTTCCGGCAAATTCAGGGAGGAGGATTGGGCCTCCTTCCAGCACTCCGGGAGGTCCGCGATTCTGCTACGAAGCAGACTAGCGCGCCTTACGCTGGAGTTCTGCCGCCTCAGGATGTTCATCCGCGCCGGCCGCCACGGGCTGCTGACCCCCTCTCGTCACGGACCTGCCCCGCGGCAGGGAGCGCCTCGACATCGTAGTCCTCAGGGCTGACACCAGAGGTCAGTGTTGGCCAATTGAACTTCTTGCCAGCTTATTCTGAGTTTCTACTTCTGAATCATAGAGGTTCTCGAAGCTGAACACTCAACACCCCGGACCCGACCCCTCGCGCCGCCCCCACGGCGGGCGGGCATAGATCCGCCGCCACCGTCCGAGCACCCCGGTCGCCACCTGCTGCAGCGGGTTACCCACCCAGCGACATCTCTGCCGATAAAAGATGCTCGGCAGTCTACTGAAAGATATCCCACGATGATAAATTTATTGTAGAGGTGCGCATAATCAAGAACAATAAGACAACAGAGACATAAGAGTTAGACATATTCGAGCCATCAGCCTAACGTAATATCCTACTCCTGTGGTCTGTTGATTTGTATTGGTTATCGTATGATATTGCGTGTGTTTTAAGAGGGTTCCTGCCCGTCTTATATAGTCTAAGGGACAGGGTTATAAGTCGGTTAGATTTAGAAGATAATCGGTAAGTAATAACAGATTATATGAATCATGAGATCGAACATATCCTAACAGATCTCGTAGTATCTTTAGGATATCGCCCTTGATGTCTTTCGGTGCACGCCGTGCATCGTAGGTCTTCGTCTTGTGGGCTGGACCGCCCCTGGGAGCCCAGCTCATGTAGTCTACCGTGGGTATCCAGAATAATACCCCACAGCTAGTCCCCGAGCGTCTTGTATCCGCTGTACAACGCTGTCTTGAGCTTGTCCGAGCAGGTGTGAACAAAGACGAACAGTCAGACTCATAGTCCGACCACCCTAATGACTCGCCGAGCAGTTGTGAATCATCGCCGAGCAGAGTATCCCAAGTAAGGCTTGCCAGAAGGATGTCAGCAGCCCAAGTTCAAAAGCGAAAATTTTCTTGCTGTATACCAAGTGTGCCCACTTATAGTCCGACCACGAGAAAAGGAGATAATCGTCTTAAACATCAGGAGGCACGGAGTCTTCCAGATTAAAGAAAACACACTCACCGCAAGGTGAAGTGTGCCCACTTAGTCCCCTAGCCTGATAGTAGGTGACGTAGTCACGTGGTGCCAGGGTCCAAAAAGTAGAAGAAAAACCGAAGACTAGCCGAGCAGACAACCAGTCCCTAGGCATAGCCCTGAAATGAAAAGCGCACATTCACCGCAAGGTGAAGTGTGCCCACTTAGTCTCCGAGCCTGACAGCAGGTGACGTGGTCACGTGGTGGCAGGGTCAGAAACAGCAATAACCAAAAAATCCCCAGTATGGTGAGAAGACGAATCATAATGATAACGTAGTCCCCGAGCCATAAGTGGAAATCTCGGATAAATCGAGAAGTGCCGAATACTCAAATCGTGGAGAAAAGGCCAGAGTAATGGCCGTGCAGTAGAAATTACCGAGCCTTGATGACATTGCGGAGAAGTCGTCGAATATTCGGTGTGTAGTTCCAAGTTACGTCGAAAGATGGGCGATACGGGCTGCAGTTGCGCGAAAGCCCAGATAACGGCCCACCACGCCGCTTCGGGAAATTCGGAAAGGCACAAATCATGGTGCGGTTTCCCAAAAACCCTTGAATGCGAAAAGTGGAGAGGGTGCCTTTATAATTGCGTCGCCGCACTCCGCGCTCCCACCTTTGCCACTCCGCCACTTTGTCTTCCTCCTCAGCCCTCACGCTTCCCGATTCGCACTCACACGCGCTCTGCCGCTAGGGCTAGAAAGCTTGCGCAAAGGAAACAATTCCGATCTAGATCTGAGGGATGGCGCCCAAGAGGGGA